AAATCCAAAAAAGAAAACTTCAGGATCAAGCAAACATGTTAAAAGATCTTCAAATAGAGAGACCCCAGGGTCTGGCACCTGTTGCCATGGGCAGGCCCCAGAGCGGGAGGGGTGCCTTTGCTGGAGGCCCAGAGCAAGCGGATCAACCTCACGGGTGTGGCGGGCTCTCCCCGAGCCTGCAGGCTGGTGTGGGACGCAGGACTTGGCCAGGTGGCAAGCTCCCGGGTGCCACCACCGCTGGCACCGAGCAGCACAGCCCCAGGCACGCGCGCTCCTGCCGACCTTCCGAGGGGCCTGGCCCGGCGCTCCCTCCCCTCTGCTCACAAGGCCGTGCGGCACGAGTGTGCAGAGCCCTGGTTGTAACCCCGCTCTGGATGGGTACGGGGCGGCTTCCCTGGCGGGCCCGGGTGTGCAGTGCATCTGACCTCTGCCTTCCTGCGGCCGTCCTCACGCAGGCCCCACTGCGTACCTGCTCCCGCGCCCTGCCCTGCGCCAGGGCACTTCCCTAGCTGTGCCCTCTCTGTGCTGTCCTGGCTTGCAGGGTGCTCTGGGGAGCACCAGAACCTCCCATGTTGCCCTGGGGCAGAGATGTTGTGCTGAACCCTCGAGGCCCTGGGGCAGGCTGTGGTACTGGAGGCTTTTGTCTCACTCACCTGCTGATGGCTCTGGGGTGAGTCTGAGTGTGGTGCCGGACACATCCGGGTTTCTGGAACACCCGGTGCTGGACGGGGTAGGGTGGGGCCTGGGGACACGGTGGGTGAGGAGGACAGCAGTGTCCGCCTTCCCAGCCGACAGTGGCAGGACCAATGGGGGAGGGCGTGGGGCGGAGCTGCCTTTGGTGGGGGCCAGCATCAGAATGGATGGGAGCCTGGGGGGGCGAGGCGGGGCTGGGGGTTTGCACAGGGGTGGATGCAGGGAGGGCAGCCCTGGGGGGAGACGAGATGAGGTCCCTAAAGGAAGGTTCCACGCACCCTGGGCAGGAGCGCTAGAAAATTAATCCCCGGTGAGCAGAGCTCGGGGCGCACTTTGGAGAAACCCATTTGTCATTGTGACGCGGGAGAGCCGTCTCAGACTCTCCCTGCGGGGCAGGCTTTCCCTGGAGGCCCGGTCGTTCCCTCGGCCCGGTCCTTACTCTGCACAGAGCGGCAGCACTGGGTGGTGCGTGGTGGAGGGATGGCAGCCACCCTGTCTGCCGCGGTGGCGCGTCCTTCCCCGGGCCGTCGGTCCTGGGTGCAGGGAGCGTCGAGTCCCCAGCGGCCCCGGCAGCACAGTGCTGGCTCACTGCTGAAGGAGGAGGCACTTTTTACAGACGTATTTCAAGGGCACGTTCATCTGAAGCAGGAGAGGTGTGCATTTTCAGAGCTTGGGTGGGTGGGTGCGGACACCATGGGACGTCTTGGGGCACTTCTTTGTTTCAGATTGTAAAGGTTGCAGCTCACACGTCAGTGCCTGGGGGGCGCTACTGTGACAGTTTTTAGTTCTAACAATGTCTAGACCCCGGGTTGGGCCTCGCAGTTAACACACTTGCATCCCACATCCGAGAACATGGGTTTCACTCCCAGCTCTGGCTCCTGGCTCCAGCTTCCTGCCAGTGTGAGCCCTGAGAGGCAGGCGTGGAGGCTCAGCTGTTCAGGTCCCTACCACCCACAAGGGAGACTCGGACTGAATTCCCAGCTCCCAGTTTTGGCCTGGCCCAGCCCCAGCCATCACAGGCGTTTGGGGGGAGGGAACCAATAGTTGGAAGCTCTGTCTGTGTCTCTGCCTTTCAAGTCAGTAAACAAAACCTGGATAGGGCATTTGCTGCTGGAACCAGCCATCGAATAAGCTGGGAGTCTGAAGGTTCCCCTCCTATTTACTTCTTTACGCAGCGGCCCTGTTGAGCGCCCCCTGGTGGCCATGTGCTGCCACTGCAGGAGCGTTCTGCAGGTGTGGTGGTGGTGGGTCGTGGAGGTGTTGACCAGCTGTCTTGAAACACAAAAAATGGTTCAGAGGGCAAACCAAGGTGCTGATCCATGTCTTGTCGGTGCAGGCTATGTTACAAAGAGGTTTACCTGACTCCTTCTAGGAGTGCAGTGTCTAGGATCTTCATCTGGTGATGAAGTGGCTGACAGAGCAGCATCACGTGGCAAGAGATAGAGCACATGTGTTCATCTTTGTGTCTCTTGCTCTCCATCTTTTATTATTTTTAAAAAAGATTTATTTATTATTTATTTGAAAGTCAGAGTTACAGAGGCAGGGAGAGACAGAGATTTTCCATCTGCTAGTTTACTCCCCAGACGGCTGCCGACAGCCAGGGCTGGGGCTAGGCCAAGGCCAAGAGATTCATCTGGGTCTCCCACCTACATGGGTGCAGGGGTCCAGGCACCTGGGCCATCCTCTGCTGCTTTCCCAGGCACATCAGCAGGGAGCTGGATTGGAAGAGGAGCGGCGGGACACGAATCTGTGCCTGTATGCAATGCCACCATCGCATGCAGTCGCTGAACCTGCTGCACCATCTCAGCCCCCCACTCTCCCTCTTATCAAGCTACTGAGATTCAGTCATGTGGCCCCAACCCTTCTCTAAACCCAGTCCCTTCCCAGAGGCCCTGCTGTAGATCGAGGACTCCTAGTTCCTCACAATGGAGATGAAGTTTCAGCAGGTGAGGCCTTGGGGGATGCTCAGACCATAACCAAACTGCTGCTTAACCAAGAAAACCAGGACGTGAGTGTGAGACCTGGCCTGTGAAAACATCTTATTGAAACAACTAAAATTGAGAGTAGAGGGCCGGTGCTGTGGTGTACCAGATAAAGCCACCACCTGCAGTGCCAGCATCCCATATGGATGCCAGTTCGAATCCTGGCTGCTCCACTGCTGATCCAGCTTCCTGCTGATGCACGTGGAAAAGCAACGGAAGATGGGCCAAGTCCTTGGGCCCCTGTACCCATCTGGGAGACCCAAAGGAAGCTTCTGGCTCCTGACTTTGGCCTGGCTCAGCCCTGGCTGTTGTGGCCATTTGGGGAGTGAACCAGCAGATGGAAGACTGACCCTCCCTCCTCTCTCTCTCTCTCTCCTCTCTCTCTCTCCTCTCTCTCCTCTCCTCTCTCTCTCCTCCATCCTCCCTTCTCTCTCTATCCTCTCTCTCTCTTTCCTCTCTCTCCTCTCCTCTCCTCTCCTCTCCTCTCCTCTTCTCTCTCTCTCCTCTCTCTCTCTCCTCCCTGCTCCCTCCTCCCTGCTCCCTCCTCCCTTGTCTCTCTTTCTCTCTCTCTAACTCTGCCTTTCAAATAAACCAACCTTAAAAACAATTGAGAGTGGCTGTTTAGCCTCGTAGTTAAAAGCACCCACATCCCCTATCCGCGTGCCTGGGCTCAGCACCTGGCTCTGACCCCAGCTTCCTGCTCGAGCAGCCCCAGGAGGCAGTAGTGTCGGCTCAGGTAATTGAGTTCCTACCACCCATGTGGGAGACCGGAGTGGGATCCCCTCCTGCTCTTGGTCCTGCCCCGTGGGTTGTCATGGGCGGTTGGGGAGTGAACCAGGGAAGGGGGATGTGCCCGATCTCCCCCTTGCTCACTCTTGCTCTCCCCCTTTCACATTGAAAATTGTTTTAAGGCATCTGAAATTGCTGTCCCTGCACTTTGCACCTGCCCATTGTACTCCACACTGTAGACTCCATTGTCCTGGGGGGCAGCAGCCACCTCTTCTTCCCCGAGGGTCAGGAATTAAGACCCCTCTGCTTCCCTTCCCATGACATGTCTCAACTCCAGACTGAAGTCCGAGACTACGCCTGTGTGGCTGCATCTGCCCAGCCCCTCACCGACGGACCGTGGGGATCCGAGCTGGGTAGGAGGGCGGGGCCTAGGAGGAGTGGGAAGAGCCACACCAGGGAACGGGCCTTGCTCAGAGAAGGCTCAGAGGGGCCAGCCATCCTGAAATGGGAGGAATCAGTACCTGGCCCCGCCTTTGGGGGGACACAGTCAGCAGCCAGCGCTAGGAAGGTGGGTGTGCTGTGGCTAATCAGGTCCAGGTCCAAGGTTCCCTCCAGCAGGAAGCCATTGGGTCTGTGGTCCCAGCAGCCTGTGGCAGCAGGGTGGGGACCAGGACACTTGGGGAGTGCAGCATGCCAGGGATGGCCCTTTGTGCTAGTGCACGGGGCTCGCAGGCAGTGTAGGGGTGGGGTGAGGGTGTGAGTGGTGTCAGGGCTCACTTCCCCAGTCCCCATGGCTTCAGTTTTTTTTTGACAGGCAAAGTTAGTGAGAGAGAGAGGTCTTCCTTCTGTTGGTTCACCACCCCCAAATGGCCACCACGGCCAGAGCTGTGCCGATCTGAAGCCAGGAGCCAGGTGCTTCCTCCTGGTCTCCCATGCGGGTGCAGGGCCCAAGCACTTGGGCCATCCTCCACTGCCTTCCCAGGCCACAGCAGAGAGCTGGACTGGAAGAGGAACAACCGGCACAGAATCTGGCGCTGCAACCGGGACTAGAACCAGGGGTGCTGGCGCCGCAGGTGGAGGATTAGCCTAGTGAGCCACAGCGCCAGCCATGGCTTCAGTTCTTATGGAACCTGGATACGGGTCCTGGCCAGCCCCTTGCCTGCTTGCAGCTGGGGTTGGTCCCAGACTCCTGTAGCTTTTAGGATCTCATGCCCCTAACTGTTGGGACCTACCCCGCCCTGTAATGAGTCAGCACAGCACCCACAAGCACCCAGTGCTGGATGAGCAAATGGGTGAATGAACGCATGGGTAGCTGAGGGCCTGAAACAGGAGGCCTGCATTCTGGCCCTGCGGTTCCCCCTGCCGCCCAGGCCACGAGCTGTCCGCTTTGAAAGGCCTCACCCATCCCTAGTTCACAGGGCAGGATCCACTACGGGAGCCCAAATACCCCATCAAGGTTAGAGGCTCTGCTGGGCTCCCTTGGGACTCCCTCTGGGCGCCGGGCGTCTCGGTTGATTGTGCCCCTGCCTGCCCCTCTCCTCCATCCCTGCACCTGAAGATGTGCCTCACCACTGTCCTCTCCTCTGCTCCCTGCAGATCCTGGCCAACATCTTCCTCTACCTGTGCGTCATCATCGTGGGCGTCATGTCCTACTACATGGCCGACCGCAAGCAGCGCAAGGCCTTCCTGGAGGCCCGCCAGTCGCTGGAGGTGAAGATGAACCTGGAGGAGCAGAGCCAGCAGCAGGTGAGGCTGGGGTCTCAGGTGGCCTTGGACCCGGAGCTCAGGTTCAGGGTCTGGGGGAGGGCGGGGGGCCCATGGACCTGCAGTGTGACCTGCTGGGCTCCTCTGTGCAGCCCCTCTCCTAAGTCTCCTGCTGGGCCGGCATCGCAGCTCCTCCCTCCTCCTCTCTCTCTTTCCTACAATGTAAAACTCTTCAGTTTAAAGAAACCCATTGCCCCAGCATCCAGCGGCCTCCCCGTGCGCTGTCCTCGGGTGACGCCGGTCTCCCTGCCTTGCCACTCTATGCCACTCTGGCTGGTGGCACTGCCGGCTGGCGCCGTGCACCCATGGTGCGCTCAGAGCAGGGGTGGAGCCTCTGCAGCACAGGACCCAGCCGTGGCCTCACTGCCTGCACCCCGGGGAGCTGCTCCCTGGTCCCGGTCGTCTGTGCAGGAGGATGAGCAGCCCCGTCCCAGGGACCCCACTATTCACGTCCATCCATCGGGAGAAGGGCCTGGCCGTGCCTGCCCTTGCTTTCCCGGCCCCGCCCCCCCAAGCCCAGTCCGTGGCATAGCCCTGCTCCGGCCCCCCTGGGCCTCGGGGGTCTAAATAGGTTCTCCCTCGAGTCAGCTCGCGCACCCGCTGGAGCCTTCCAGAAACGGCACCCACCAGCTGCCTGCTGTCCCTTGGCTGACCCCTTTGAAAACAAGCTCGTCGGGTTGGAAACTCTGGAAGCGTGTCCTCTTGTGTCTGCCCTGGATTCGGAGCCGCCGGCACTCAGGCAGCAGGTCTTAGTGTGGGGGGCCCACTGTCTGGCCTTAGCATCCTCGAGTCCAGACGGTGCCAGGTGGAGGCGCACGGAGGCAGGTGCCTGGTGGGTCCCAGCCTCCTTTGCCCTGGAGGAGGTTTTTCTCTCTCTGGTTTAGTGAGATCTAGACGCTTCGGAATTGGGCCTCGGCCCCAACTCTTTCAGAAGGCAGGGTTGCAAGGAGAGTTTCCCTGGCCTCTCTCGTGACAGAGGTCCAGCCTCACTGGCCAGCCCCCGTCCCCTGTGCCCTGTGCCCTGTGCCCTCTGATGGGCGTCTTGGCACTCGGGCTGTGGCCACACCACTCTGGGTTCTCTGTGCTGTAGAAAAGCGCGTGTCAGCCCTTCACCAGGCTGGGAGCCTATTTCTATGGCCACGGCTCCTGTGCGCTTCCAGTGTGTCGGTCTGTCCGCCTTGTCCATCTCAGCTCGTGCCATCCAGGCCATGTTAAAGCATGGGGAGTGGTGCATGGCGGAGGGAGGCCTCCCGGTGAGGGGGGACCCACCCTGGGCCTCTGATTCTCTGCCTAGACACTTGAAACGAGCTATCCCAGAGTTCCACTCTCCTCGTCAGCAGAGGTTTTGACGTTTGTCTCGTGGGTTCCCTGAGGGTCGGGTAAGAACACAGAGACTCGAGTCCTAACCTGTAGACCTCGAAGTGGCTATGGGCAGGCTGAGGTGCCTGGCGCTGGGGACCCCCGTTCTAAGGGCCAGGGCCATGTGTTCCCTCTGGGCAGGGTCAGCACAGGGAGCCTGGACGGCCGAGGGGGTCATCCCTGGGTGTCCTAGGAGTGCAGAGCCCCACGGAGCAGCTGGAGGGCGTGGGCAGCCTGCCCGGCCATGTGCACCAGCAGAGCAGACATCTCCCCGGGGTGAGAGGTCCAGGGTCTGTGGAAGGAGGGGCCAGAGTGGGGAAGGGGCTCTGACGTGCACCCCAGCGAGGCTCGGCAGGTGCCTGTCAGTGGAGTGACTTGTTGAACCCGGCTCGATCATTTGTTTGAATTTATTTGAGAGGCAGAGAAACAGCAGCTGGCAACAGCCAGGACTGGGCCAGGCCAAAGCCGAGGGCCGGGAACTCAATCCGTGTGTCCTGTGTGGGTGACAGGAACCCGGTTAGCTGAGCCAGCACCGCTGCCTCCCAGGGGCTGCACTAGCAGGGAGCTGGAGCCGGGGCTTGAACCCAGGTCTTTCGATGCGGGTTGCAGATGCCTTAGCCGCCAGGCCCGCGGCCTCGCCCAGCACTGTTCTGGGAGCAGTCTGGGCTGGTTGGGTCACCTCCTGGCCCCGGGTTCCCTGAGAGTGACTGTTTGGCGTGTGCGGCCTCTGGAGACGCAGAGGCACCCTGCGCAGCCGGGGACTAGGGTCCCGTTGCCTGTGACTTTAGCTTGCTGGGGATTCCTCTGTGTCCTTGCCGAGTTTCGGTGTCGTGGTTATGCCAGGCTCCGGGAGTGACTAGAGAAGGGCTCGCTGCTTCCAGTCCCTGGAGAAGTTCGGGGGTTCCTTCCCTTGGATTGCTGGAATGTTCAGAACTTGTTCGTGTTGTCCCGCGGCTCCGCGGTGAGCGTGAGGGGAGGACTCGGCTCCCGCCGTGGCCGCGAGGTTGTCACACTGTGTATTTCTTTTTGTGGGTGTTTTGGGGACTTTTTTTTTCTTCCCTAGAAACTCAACCATTTAATCCAAATGTTCAAACTTTTGGCATAACAGTGTTAATACTTTGTGCTTTTTATCATCTGTCAAACTTGTAGTGATGTTCCCTTCTTTCAGTACTGATCATAGTAATTTGTTCCTCCTATTTTTAAAATTATTTTTCTTTTTTAAAAATTATTTATTTACTTGAACTGCAGGGGACAGAGAGAGGGAGAGAAAGAGACAGAACCAGAGAGAGAGGGAGAAAGAGAGATCTTCCATCTGCTGGTTCAATCCCAGCTGGGGCTGGGCCAGTCTGAAACCAGGAGCCAGGAGTGGGTGGCAGGGACCCAAGCACTCGAGCCATCATCTGGGGCTTCCCACGTGTGTTAGCAGGGAGCTAGATTGGAAGCTGAGCAGCTGGGATTCGAACCTGCACTGCCGTGTGGGATGTAGACACTCCAAGTGGCAGCTTAACCCACCGTGCCGCCATGCCCGCCCCGAGAACGGAAGTTTCCCGCAGTCCTAGAGGTCGTGAAGTCCAAGGCTGCTGCTGGCCTTTGGCCTGGTGGGGGCCTCCCCGGTGCATCCAGGTGGTGTTTCCTGTGGCCCCTGTGAAAGGGGCCTTAATCCCACTGTGGAGGGAGCAGTGCCTGTGGCCCGAGCCCCTCCTGAGGGCGCCTCTTACAGCCGTCACCTCAGCAACCCCGAGCTTTGGAGGGCTCGCTCTCTGCAGAGGCGGAATTCCAGGCTCTGAGCCCTGTCACCCCCAGCCCCGCCCGGCTTCCACCACGCCTGTGGGCGCGCCAGGCCAGCCTCAGCTTCGCTGTTGCTCTTCTCAGGAACCCCTGCATTTCCCTCTGGTTGCTTTTAGAGTCCTCCTCCCCCTCCCCCTCCTCTCCTCCCACTTCCCTCCCTCCTCTTCCCCCCACCCCCCGCCCTGATTTATTTAATTATATGAAAGGGAGAGAGAGAGCTGTCGGTGGCTCCACGTGGTGTGGTCTTGTAGCTGATGTCACGAAGGGACAACCCGGGGGACCCAGAGCAGGTGTGAAGGGCTGAAGGCCGGGTTCAGTCTGAGAACCGGTTTGTTTCTGGTCTGTGCCCGTTCTCAGGAAATAAGTCTTCAGGGGTCGTAAGGGAAAGGCCAGCCCTCGCAGCTGTGGGAGACTCGGCCGGCACCCGTCTCTGGTGGGCGCCTCGCCTGCCAGGGCTGCCCAGGGCAAGTGGCGTCCGGTGGTCGGGTTCCCTGATGGCGGCTCTCGGTCCTCCGGGTCTCGGAGCTGGTGCTGCGGGGGCCCAGGAGCCCTCGCCTGCCTGCCTGCCCGTGTTGCTGCAGCCCCAGCTCCCTGCTTCCTGGCTCGCCTAAATGTCTTTACGCACTGAGACCTTGGCCCCTCAAGTCCTGGGTACCTTGGTGGCTTCCCGTTGCCTGCAGGGAGCTGAGCGTTGTGTTCTGGTTGTTTCGCTTTGTATTTTATCCAACCTTTGTGGTTCTTGGCCGAAGGGCTGGTTTCTGACGTAAGCTCTGCTGAAATACCGACAAGCAAAAGTGGGGCATTGGAATGTTTTACTTTTCGAGTAGTTAAAAGTGCGCACGGTGTGACATTCTGGAAGTATACAAGAGCGTGTACCAGGAAAAAGAAGCCATTCCCTGCCTGTGTCTCCCAGCCCTCGGGCTCCCTGTGCCTTGCACGGCCACTGCTATCTTTCTCCTCTGTCTTCCCAGCGAGTTCCGTTCAGTTCCAGATGTGGACGTGCCCCTGGCACGCACACACACACACTCACACACACACACACACACTCTAGCCCGTCCACTGTTCCGCCCTTGACCTTCCCACCCTCTGTCTCAGCATTCTAAGCCCACACGGCATCGCCTCGCCCTTGCTGAAGGCTGTGTTGTAGTTCCTGGTGCATAAGCAGCGTCAGTCATTTCTCTCCTCCTCTGGCTCTGTGATAGTCACCCTCACAGGGGCAGGCATTTGCACCCCACGTCTGAGTGCCCAGGTTTGAGTCCCAGTTCCACTCCTGGTCCCAGCTTCCTACTTACGCGGACGCGAGAGGCAGCTGATGACGGCCCAAGTACACGGGTCCCTGCCACCCACGTGGGAGACCTGGATGGAGTTCCAGCCTCCTGTTGTGGCCGGCTGAGCCCTGACCGTTGCAGGCACTTGTACACTAAGTCATCAAATGAGAGGTCCTGCTCCATCAAGCGCTCGCTCGCTCTCTCTCTCTCTCTCTCTCTCTCTCTCAGACTGTGTCTGTTCTGCTTTTCAAATAAATTAAAAATATATATATCTTATAGGGCTACCATGTCCACACGTGTGTAAGTGCATCTGAACAATGAAAGTCTAGGAGTAGAACTGCTGGATCGAAGGACATAGGCACTTAGGAAATTATTTGTGTGTGTGCATTGATTTTATGGTAAAATATTAATAGCCAAAACCCGCCAGTTTAACCATGTCCAAGTGTACGGGCCAGCGGCCTTCAGGGCGTTCGTGGTGCTGTGCCATCGCCAGCGCCGTTTCCAGGACAGTTTTGCCCTCCCTAGCAGAAGCTGCGCCTGCGCGGCGGTCGCTGCCCATCCCCCAGC